AGCTCATTTATAGAATAGAATATTAGTACAGTTGGAAAGGGCCATGAAGGCCATCGAGTCCAAACCCCTAACTTCCTGCTGTTGCAGGACACCAATTTATACCATCCCCACAGCAGGTGACCACAAACTAAACCAATGCCAGTATACAATGAACAGCACAGAAATCCTATGCTGATTAAACTACAAACACTACTGAATTAGGTAGGGGAGCTGTATGCATTTGTGGGAGATAAAAGGGAAACCTGGAGGTGTGTAAGAGATGCAACTTAGGATTTTGAGACGATGGTTTTTGATAACTGAAAACTATATTATACCAAGAAATGTGAACTTTCTTACCATTAATAAAATACAAATGTAATCATAACAAAATCAAAGAAAAATATCATACATGTATCTGTGTCCTAGTCCAAAAATTGTTCTTCAGAGTAACAGAGTGGTTTTATTTTATTTTATTTAAAGCTTTTATATCCCACCCTTCTGATCTCATTCAATGATAGCTCCTGAAGAAGGACTTCTGCTCCAGAAGGTTCATATGGCAGGTACATATGGATAACGACACATATGAAATATATTGAATTACACTGCATGCCATCCCACCCCAGTCTGATGGATTATTGCATGGGACTCAAAGCTAAAGTTTGAGACTAGAGGCAGAGCTTACCAAACACATGAAATATCCAGTAAAAAACAATCCAAAATAAACAGCTTTTGGTCCCAAATAACTATTTACTAACTGTTTTAGTCTGATACGGCACACTGTATGTACTGCACTGAGTTCCTCAGAGGGAGGAAATGTAGTTCAAATACATAGCATCCCAGAATTTGATCCCTGACATCTCCAATTAATAAATATCAGACAACAGGGACTGCCTGAAACCCCAAAGAGCTTCTGTAGTTAGAGTGGATAATACTGAACTAGAAACGTTAAGTGGTGTTTCCTTCTTATTTTCTCTTAGGGTGGGATATAAGCATACATTGCTAACCTACATGTTTGAGCACTTTCCATTTAAGAAAACATAATGTCTGATGCTTTTTCCTTTCATGGAGAAATGGCAGATATAAAATGGACCTTTGTTTTGTAACAATCACTTAAGGCCAAAAATCCATTCCAGTCACAGTCAGGAACCTTGGCAGTCCTCCTTGCCAGTCACAGCAGTACCACTAGAAGAGGCAAAACAGCAGGAATGCCAATTCCTCATGTGCCTGTTGTCTGCCAGGGTTTGGGGGAATGTTAATGTATCGCCTCATGTGGCACATGGTATTTGGGGGACAACTGGATATACAGGGCTATTTTATAGGTAACAAACAAATGAGTAGAGGATTTAAATGAGAAACAACATCAAGATGCTGGATTAGATTGTGTCAAGACAGACGGGCTAACAGGCAGATGGTGGCACTTAGTTCTTACTGCGAAGGGAGCAAGATGGCCTTGGCAAAGGAGGTTGGTCTGGACATTATGAATGGGTTGCAGGGAGGCTGTGAAACCAGCACTAAAAAGATCAAAGTGTAAGAACTAAGGATGGTTCAGGCATGTCATACACAGGTGGTACTAGAAAGAAAAAAAGAAGCTAATAATAGTACAGCCTTCTGAGATACAAGAGTCTACCACTAACTACTGTTAAGGCTTAAAGACTATTTAGGCTAACAAGGAAAGGACTTCACACACAAAAATCCTATAACTTTCATCTATAAACTGCTGTTTTCTTTCTACCTTCTAACATAGTGAAGAATAATGAACACGATTCACAACCAGCAAACTATCCTACTATTTCTATATTGCTAAACATTGATAATTGTCTTCCCCCTAAAATGAAGTTTATGCATGAATTGGGCACTGAACATCACTTAAGCTATTTTGTTTTGTTGGACCTGTTGGGTGACATACAGGTATGTGAGGGGATGTCACATGAAGAAGTGTAGAGACCTGTTCTCCCCTGCAGAGGAAGGCAGGACGCGTTCCAACGGAGCAAAGCTCAGGGAGCCAAGGTTCCATTTGGATGCCAGGAAGCACTTCCTGACAGTTAGGACCCCGAGGGTATGGAATGGGCTTCCACGGGAGGTGGTTGAGGCCCCATCAGTGAGGGTGTTCAAGGATAGGCTAGACATGCACATGGTGAACATGTCCTGAGTGGAGCCGGCCTGAGCCAGGGGTCAGACTAGATGGCCCAGGAGGCCCCTTCTGACTCGCTCTGGTTCTAAGTTTCCCTTGCTGATGGAGCTGGGGAATTAGAAATAGCCTTACTGCTGGATCTCCTTTTTTTAACTATATATTTTTTCAAGAAAAATATGTTGTAAAAGACTGTGTGAAAAGCCTTCATACTATCTTCTTCAGACTATGACTAAATCCCCCCACCCAAAAAAAGAGATGGATTCTGTAACTTTTGCAAGAAAAATTCTTGATGGCTACCTACAGGTGATAGAGGTACAAAGTAGATGCACTCCTGTGCTGGACACAGACCTCTATAACAACACAGTTTCATAAAAAACAGAGCTAAAGCTAATGCACATTAAGAGAAAGACTTCTTCCATTTTTCAGTTTGTGTTAAGCCACACACCACATGATAAGAACCAATGTGCTGCGGTGGTTGGACTGGGGAACCAAGAGATCCAAATTCTATTTCCACTTGGCCATGAGCTTCACTGGATGACTTTGGGCCAGTCACTCCATCTCAGCATAACCCACCTCACAGGGTTGCTGTTGTGAGGACAAAATAAGAGTGGAGGGCTATGTAAGCCACCTTGAATTCCTCACAAGAATAAAATGGGTAGAGTATAAATGTAATGAAATAACAACGATCAACCTAAAGCTCAATTAATATAATCCATTAATTCGGGCATATGTGACTCAGTTCTTTACCCAAATCACATTTGCATAGGAGCAAGTCTCACTATCCTCACTAATTGTTTTGCCTTTACAATCACAATCCAAAGCTACAATCCCAAATTTACCTATTAGTTCAGTTGAACATTCTAATGAGTAAACATAAATAGGATTAAACTGTTAACAGTGAAATTCATGAAACATCCATAAACCATATCATACTGAGCCTAGGTTATCTTATACTCAAGTTTACTGAATATATTAGCTATATCAAAAGTTATTAATATTTATCTAATCACCCCTCCAAAAACAAAAGATAGCAGTGCTTGTCCATGTGAAAAGCACCTAAAATCTACTATCAGGAAATAACCACATTAAGATCAACCAAAATTCCATATATCCTCTCTAAAATATTTTTTAAAAGATATCCCAAGCGGGAACATGTCTATATTATCATATAAGAAGTACAGAACTATAATTCGCAGGCTGAAAATGCTCAGAGTCAACACTGATTCAGTCCTATGGCCTACACTAGTATCTGTCACATCAGTACACATAAACAGACAGAAGTTGTAACACTTGATTCCCCTGCAGGCCAAACCAGTCAAATACTCTTTGTCCATTATTTGTAAATTTCAAGGCTCTGCTGTCCTGTACACTGGAGATACTATAAAGAAATCCAAACCCTTCAGAATGAACAATGTGTGTGTGTATACACACACAAGTACTAAACCATACAGCACATTAAGACAACGCCTCATAAACTATGCATACCACAAGTAAAGATAATATCCTAGGCTTCAGCCTGCAACCAGAATATTCATTCTTGAATTCACATCTCAATTCTCTTCACAGCACACGATTTACAAAATAATCTCATCCTGCTACTGCGTTGGATTGTGCGGGGGGTGGGGGTGGGGATATAACTTGCAACTTCAGTTTCTGTACTTACACTTATTATTAAGACTAATAAAAGGAGTTAGAAATCCAGCCAACAAAATATTACCTTACCACATTCAGGTATACAGAGATAAAGAGCTCTGTCATGTGCAAAAAGAGGAAACAGTGGCATGCTGAAAACAGACTCATTTTAATTGGTTTTATGTAACAAAATGACAGGAGGCTCTGCCCTTACCTTATCTGTAAACACCTTTTATGAAAGTGAATGAAGAAATCTATATTTACATGCAAAGCAACCTCATGTTTGCATCCACTGAATGACACAAAACTACTACAACTTGTTTATATTAGCCCATACTACACGCAGTCTTGACAATTGCTGATTTTCCTCAAAACAAAGACACCCCACTATTGAAATTCAGGAATCAAGCATCACAAATGGGTAACAGGACACAAGATTGCATCACCTACAGCTCCCTTCCAGGTTTGGGATATACACCTATACAATGGGCAGCATTAACTCACAAGTCTAATGAGGCTCTAGGGAGCATCCATATAAGACGCAAATTCAAGAAGGTACAACCCCTTAGTCAATAGCAGCAAAAACTACATAATATTGTGGCACAAAACAGTTGTTGGTCTTAAAGGTGTCACAACACACCCATTTTTTTAAAAAGCAAAACCGAAACAGGAACACAGGCTAAATTTAAGCAAGCTGCCTTGCAGCTCACAACGGATCACAATTATGCCTTTATCACCCATCAGTATAGCACCTGGCCCTTGGAGGTATAGTCAAGAGTTTGGGAAAGGTTACCCGTCATAATGATCTTAGTACTCTCTTCCAAGAACCCATTTCCAGGTGCGCTGCTCATAGGAACGGACTGGTTAAACGATATTGCAAGAGGCTGATTCACACAGAGGAAAACTCATAACTTTGCCTTTTCCGAGCTCTTCCCCTCAACATCATTTCGGATGTAGGGAGCAGTCGAGAATCTAACTCCTCCTTCATGGTCCAACTCCTAGTTTCCAACCTCTTCGAAGGGGGCAATTAAGAACCGGCCCTCTTTCTCTCTTATACTGCCCTTCGCTCTTTCTCCCTACAAGGCGCGCACGCCGCTATAAATAGGCTACAGTAACCTGCTCAGGAGAGGGATGCCTGCGACATCACAACCTCTAGTCTAGGAAAACACCGCCCTCACCCCGCCCCACCACCTGCACGACTCCATCCCTCAAGAGCCCAGCTGCGCTTCTCTCTGGCTGGACTGCCTCACTGACTCACCTGGCTAGGGCGGCGGCGGCGGCAGGAGCATCGGGCGCTAGGCAGCGGCGAGACAGAGCCCCAAGGGGGCTGGTGTGGTCCTGGGAGCGCGGAGCGGAGCCGCCCTGCCAGCCGGCGATATAAATAACATTATCTGTCCAAGCAGGGACATTCCTGCCCAGGGACGGCTCTGCTGCCCGGCCCAGATAGTCCCGCTCCCTCAGGGGGAGGGAAAAGAGGGAGGAGGCGCTTGAGCGAGGAGGAGGAGGCGCTTGCCCTGCAATGCAGCACAGCGGCCCCCCCAGGCCAGCGCCAGCAGCGGCACCTGCCGATGCCCAGCGCAGCAGCCGTCAGTACTGGCCGCTGCGCTAGCGCTGCCCGGCCGCTCGAGAAGCTCCTAGGACCGGGCCACACCCAGGGCGAGTCGAGCAGGGAACTCACAAGGGCCGCCAAGCCCCCAAGACTGCCCCAAGCGTGAGGCAAAAAGCCACGCTCCAGCCTGCAACCAAATACGAAAATGGGGGGGGGGGGCACAAGAAGGGAAACAGCCCCAGAATGACACCAGCCTCCTCTCACGCAGGCGGGATGAATGTCAAAGTGAGCGCGGGAGAACTGTGTGCCACCAAGCGGGCTGAAGCATTGCTCCTACGGTACGGAGGGGACCGTTTGCACTGCCCTCGGCTAATGACTGGAAGGACAGGCGGGAGGCAGAGCTGCGTTTGGCCCCTGTTCACGCCTCTCGCAAGACCGAGCGCCGCTTCGTTTTAGGTGGCCGACGGGGAGGGTTGTGGCTCCTTCGACGCCTAAAGCCCACACGGCCAAACAACTGATTCTGCTGCTGCATACTCTTCACGGGGCTATTTGAATTAGCCGAGTGCCCACCTCAGTTGACTGCTCGTCCGAATGCCTGAAAATAGTCCCATTTCTTGACAAATCCTATTGCGATGCTGGCGTTCCCGCCCTCCTGGGCGATATTTCATTACTTCCATCTTTCCCGCTTTTTTCCTCAGTTAAGTGGAAAAAACTGACGAGATCGCGAGCGGTGTGGCGGGCGCCCTGCATTTGTCGCCAGGCCCCTGGTAGCTTTTCTTGACCTGCAGGTCCCAGGTCAGGATGACGTCGGTGAAGCTTGCGCTCTCGTTTGCTTGAGAGGAAAGAGCTCACATAAGTAACCCGTTCCGCATACGAACGAACACGCTACCACAATAACAGCAGCAGCAGCAAAAGAAGGTACAGATCACCTCAGCCTGCAAATAAAACGGTCGCTACCGCAGGCGCAGTAGCATTTCTGCAGAACAAAACTATAAGGGGCGCTGCCGGTGACTGAAAAATACTCCATATCTAGAGAACTCTATCCAGTGAAGTGAGCAAGCAGAAAAGGAGAGCGCGCGATTTATTCACTTTGCAACTGCTGGGGGGACGATCCTCGGGGCCCGATCCTGGTTGCAGCAGGATTGCTGACCATAGTAACTCTAGCGCCTTCTCCGAACCAGCAAATCTCGTTCGCCTAAAGAAAGTTAGGTACCGGCTATTGGTTGAAGAAAGATGTACCAAGTGATCGGCGGCAATTTCAGCCATTGCCTAATTGCTTGATTTTCGAGTCCGCAACAGCAAAAACAACATACACACATGGGTATTCCTTTACTTGGGCGTTAACGCTCCTGATTACAACTGAAAGCTCCGTATAAGAAACAAAACTATGTGTACAATAAATATTTGCTCGGTTATAACATTGGTAGATTTCATTTTTTCAAAGGCAAACTTTTGAGCGATCAATGCCTATTTAAAACAACAAATATGGGAAAACTAATGTCTTCTCAGGGCAAGAATTCATAGGATACAGCAGGCCACTTTGTCATTCCCTTCCATCCCAATATGTTACATGGATACTTAATAGAATGCTGAATACTGAGAGGATTAAAAATCAGTAGAATTACAGCCAATATTATATTAACACCAACTTTTTCAAAGCAGTCAACTGAAATGTATTTCTGGACTTGAAGGAAGGGGGATGGAAATCCAACAAATCCTTAAAACTTTTTCAACTTTCCCTCTTTAAACCTTGTAACTAAGAAACATTCCAGCATTTTAGCAGTGAATTAAACCTTCTTTAATAATATTACTTCTTTGCAAAGCCTAACAAAATTAAGGCCTAATCAAATTCAGATAGAAATTCATTTCCTATTCGTAACTCAGAAACACACAAGACTGTCTAATTCATTGTGGATAATCAATAATACAAGCCCCATGTATGGCTACCTATCACAGACTTGATAAAATTCCCTCTATTCCACATTTCCTATTTATCAAGTGGTCCCCGATGAACACAGTCACTATGCTGACTATTGCTGGCTTTTGGGGAAATGTTTGGGACATATATAAATATTTTTTAATGTACACAGAGCTTTATTCAGATTTTAGTGCACTATTGATAAAAGGGAGCATTTTCTACATTGATGTTTTCTAGTCAGATTTTAGTGCTAATATAAATTACTTTGCTTTAGTGTAAGGGAACTTTAACACATCAGTTGAATTTACTGGTGCAACAGGTTTCCATAGAAAATCCTTCATACCAGTAAACACTACTAACATTTTGCTAGAGAGCCCATATGCCAAGGCATAATTTACATTAGCACTAATGTCCAATAAGATCTGCCTCAAGATTCCATTTTTAAAGTATACTCACTGTCAGAACTATGTACTGGATCTGCATAGTTAATATTAGTGGCATAGAATCACTCGTCTTTTCTCCAAGTTGATTCCTTTATGGATCTAATGTAGGCTGTTTCTTTTGTTTCTCTCTTATACTAGTAGTGTTGCACTTCTGCATCCTGAGTTTAAGATTCAGTTTGTCTCATTTCTGCCCAATTTTAAAGTTTCACTGATTCTACCTTTCTTAATTCAGGCTTCTTGCATAGCATACAGGTTGATTGATTGATTGATTCATTCTTGTTATACTGCCCCATTTTATTTTTTTCACCAAACTGAAATAAACCATGCAAAATTGAAATCGGCAATTTCTGGCCAAGATGTCACAGGAAACATCTTGGAGCTCTGCAGCCAAAGGGGTCCCATTTCTGGTAATCCTGGCTATACCAATACAGAGGGTCTGCAAAGGATTTGTACAATTTCAACACAAATGTCAATGTGTACATGTGCTTCTTTAACATGTGAACAGCTCTCTGCATCACATGTTCTAGTCAAAAAATGAGGACAGCAAAGCTGGGCCTAACACCCACAGGTGAGGAAAGAGTTTTTAAATTATATAGGTTAATCTCCATACAAGTATAATTAAATGAGTTAGGAAAGAACTGAACTATAAATCTCAAAAGAAAACTATTAATGGTGACTCCTCTTCTGAACATTTGTGCTTATCTGGGGACACCCCATTAGGAAGGTCCTTGATGTTTAAGTTCACTTTTCCATTCACTAGAAGGAGAGAGACATATACTTGCTTTTTTATAGATTTTTCTACCTTTCCATTCAAATTCCCAGGGTAGTTCAAGAAATGCAATAAATAAAGAAGTGATCCACATACTGGGTGGTGCTGTGAGCATTATTCATTTTTACAAAAGAAACAAGTCAACATGCACATGCTCTGAACTGGAGCTATTTTGTGTTCATAGCAAGCAAAATCTGGTAAGGCTGAATCTGATGAGAAGTATGTTTTAATTGTTGTTGTCACAAGCTGTCAAGCCATCTCTGACTTATGGCAATCCTATGAATGAATGCCCTCCAAAATTTCCTCTCCTTGACAGTCCTGCTCAGCTCTTACAAGCTCAAACTCTTCCTTGATGAAATCACTTCATCTCATATTTGGTCCTTTGCTGCTGCTTTTGTCATTCCCTACCATTATGGTTTTATCCGATGTGTCTTGCCTTCTCATAATGTGCCTGAAGTAGGACAGCCTCAGTTTTCTCTTTTTTTGCTTCCAAGGAAACTTTTGACTTGATTTGATTCAGAAGCCATTTGTTCTTCTTTCAGTCAGGTCTTGGTATTTGCAATGTTGTTTTCCAGCACAATGTTTCAAATACATCAATTTTCTTCCAGTCAGCTTTCTTCACTGCCCAACTTTCACACCAATATATAGTTATTGGTGCCTGGAGGAATGTTGTCCATGGGGTCGCGATGGGTCAGACATGACTTTGCAACTAACAACAACATCATAGTTATTGGTAATACAGTAGTGTGGATGATCCTGGTCTTGTTCTCCAGTGAAACATCTTTATACTTGATTATTTTTTCTGGTTCCTGCATTGTTGCCCTTCCAAGTTTCAGTCTTCTAATGTTTAGACTGCTGTTTATGTCTAAACTGATGCTTAAGCCAAAGTATGCAAAATCTTTCACAATTTCAATTTCTTCACTGTTGGCATTAAAGTTGTGTAATTCTTTTGTGAGACTCAAATACTTTGGCCACCAAATGAGAAGGAAGGACTCACTGGAGAAGAGCCTAATGCTGGGAACAATAGATGGCAAAAGAAGAAGGGGACGGCAGAGAATGAGGTGGCTAGATGGAGTCACTGAAGCAGTCGGTGTGAGCTCAGGTGCACTCCGGGTGATGGTGGAAGATAGGAGAGCCTGGAGGAATGTTCTCCATGGGGTTGCGATGGGCCAAATGCAACTTCATAACTAACAACCCTTTTGTAGTCATGAGTTTCAGTTGTAGTCCTGCTTTTGCACTTGTTCACTTTCCTTAGGAGTAAGCTTAATTTATTGTTGTTTTCTGCTAGTAATACGGTATTGTCTGCATATCTTAAATTATTGATTTGTCTCCCACTAATTTTCATTTTTTCTTCCTCTGATCCTAATTCAGCTTTCCTTATATGTTCTGTATACAGATTGAACAGATGAGGAGATAAAATACACCATTGTGTGACACCCTTGCCTATGGGAAACCTTTCTGTTTCTCCTTATTTTTTCCTAAATGTAGCTTCTTGTCCATGATACAGGTTTACACATCAGGCCAATCAAGTGCTGAAGCATACTCATTTCTTTCAGGATCATCCATAGCTTCTCATAATCTGAACAGTTAAAGCCTTTGCTGTAATCTAAACAGCATAGACTGATCCTCTGAACTTCTTTGGTACATTCCAATAGCAAATGTACATTTGTGACATGAACCTTAGTCATAGATTCCTTTTCATATAGATTCCTTTTCAGAATCCAACTTGAAAGTCAGCTATTTTTTGCTCCATATGGGGTAAAATTCTTTGTTGCAGCACCTTAAGTATCATTTTGTTTGAACAGGAAATCAGTACAAAAGTCCTATAGTTGCTGCACCCCTTGGCATCTCCTTTCTTGGGGACTGAAATGTATATTGAATGTTTCCAGTCTGTGTGCCATTGTTTTGTTGTCCATATTTGTTGGCATAGTCTTGTTAGGATTTAGACTGAATCAGTCTCTGCATTTTGAAATAGTTCTTTTGGTACTCTACTTTATTTATTCCTTCCACTGAGTGCTTTATTCCTTCTATTGCACTATCAGATATGCTCATACTCTAATTCTTCAGGGTATCCTTTTATCCTTTCTGTATAGTTTTCCCCCATATATTTTCCCTACTTTATTTTATCCTGGTTAGACAGTATGTTCCCATGTGGGTCTTTCAGCATTCCTAATCTCAATTTGAATTTCCCTTTGATTTCTTCTTCTGAAAGAGGTATCTCAGACTTCCTTTTGTTGTTGTTGTTCTCCTCCCTTTATTTTCACTGACCATTGTAATAGTTCTTATCTCTGCATGATAGTCATTCAGTAATTACATTCAGAATCTGACCCTATTTGTCACCTTTTGTTTTTGCTTCTCACCCCTCCTTAACCATTTTTTTTACAATTAGTTGTAAAAAATTTTATTCTGCCCTTGCTCTGAAGCTATCTGGGAAAGCTAAGCTGTATTTGCTGCTCAGCAAAACTGAGGGTATTGCAGAAACTATTGTCAAGCTTCAAATGCTATTCTAGACATTTTAATCAACTTCATAACTTTTATGACTTTTGATTTGTTGCTGTACTGCAACTACAGTTAGAAATAGGCTTTTTGCTAATATTAATGACTCTAGCCTCTTACATACAACCTGGTGTACAAAGCACAAAATGTCAGAAACACTTCAAAAATGGCATTTAGTTCAGTTTTATGGTGATATTTCAGAACACTACCATCAAATGTCTTGAACCACTTCATCAAGCCTTAAGGAAGCACAGTCATTTTCAGTTAAATAACAGATACATACATGTGTGTACAAGTATTTGTACTTTGTCATACACTTCATTATCTTTTATACTGAAGGTAGGGCAGGACTGCTATGCATACTCACTTGGAGCCAAGCCCCATTTAACAAAGCCTTATTTTTTTGAGTAAATGTGTGTGAAACTGGATTGCACATATGTCTTCATCTCAGTTGATAGCATGAAACTTGCCCTCCTAGGCTGCAACCTATATCTACTTACCTCACAGAAACTAATAGAGCCTACTTCTGTGGAGGTATTATAGAATTGCAATATTACTATGCTAGTTACTAAAGATAGATCTGCTACTCAGAATACTTAAAGCCAAATTCACAGCTAAGATAAGGTAAAGAATATAGCTTTAAGCAGTCTCAAAAATGCTATCCTCATCTGTTCTGTGACAGTCCCACGGACTTAAAATTCCATCATATGAGAATCAGAGCCTTAGGACAAATAAAGCACACATAATGGTGGCAAAGTGACTACCCAGAGTTTCAGGAAGGGTTGTTTCCAGCCTTATTTTAGACATGTCAAGGATTAAACCCAGGACCTTCAGTATGCAAAGCAGAATCTGAGGATCTGCCTAAAGTACAGAGCCTTGCTCACTACATTCATTCCCAAAATGTGTCACATAACTGACATTCCGTCTCAACTGCTGGTGTGAATGTTGGCCTATCTTGTTTTATCACCCCTGCATGGATCTCTGATTATTATGTCACTTTCCACACAAATCACTTAAAGATGGATAATTCTTCAGAAAAACTAATCTGCTGTTCCATAATTATCAACATAATTTAATTTGAACTACTGAATAGAATTCCCTTAAGAAATAACTGTGACCAACCAACCTCAAACCAAGCATTTGGATGCTTAAAATCTCAGCATTCTGATTTGCCTGACTTGGTTTTGCTTAATTAATATCTGGCACTGAATGTCTTAGTTGGACTCTGTGAACATCTGTGAATCTCATCAAGGGTCTGGCTGGGGTGCTGCAATTGCTTCAGGAAACTCCACTTAAAGCAAAAAACATTTGGGAGGAAAAGGTAATTAAAAATTGAAAACCACTGGAAAGAAGCTACCAAGTCATCAAATCAAAACAGCATTATTTCACCCCACTCTTTCAGCATTTACAATATTTTAGAATAGAAAATTTTAGAATATACCATTAAGATGCTTGACTTCCTAGTGCAGGCAGATCTAAGGTAAAAGTTTTACTCAGCCTGGTTATAGACTCCACGAATATTGCCTTTATAGGAATTTAAAGAATACTAGAAGTGTGTTTGAGTTGGTCATCTATTCTATAGGCCAGTCTTCCTCAATCAAATTTTCTTCAAATGTGTGGCTGACTGGGAGATGCTGGGAGTTGTAGTACAACATAGGTTGGGAAAGGCTAGCATAGTCAATATGGTCATCACAATTAATTACAGTCTAGGGACACGAAATATTATTAGTGTTATAGTACCTATAAGTTTATTTATTTATAGATATATAATTTGCATCATATATTTTGCTGACTGGCTTCGAAAGAAGCCCAATAAAAAATTTGTTGTTGCTATTTTAACCCTGCAACTTAAATAATAGGTCCAATCCAAACAAAAGTAAGCAGTTTGCCACAATGCTATGCATGTTTAAACTGAAGGAAACAATCCTATACCTCCCAGGATTCCCAAACAGCATGATCTTTAAATGAGACCTGCTTGGAATAAGAGTGCTTAAGATCGTAGCCAGGAAAAGAGGATTCGCATACGCCCGCGAACAACTGGAGTAAAAAGAAATCTTTGAAATAGCGCCTTCTTACGGCTACCCACCTATAGCGTAGCACGCCTGAGGAATTACGTCATCTTCCACATACCTGCAAGCCGCGCCCCCTAATCCCCGCCTCTTTGGGCGACAGGCTACGCCCACAGCCCAGACCCGTCCCTCCAGCGCGCCTGGAGGCGAGTCGAACAAGTCTCGTTTGTTTTCTTTCACTGTCTCGCGTGGAGTGTGACGTCACCGGACACGCAAGACCCAGGAAATAGCACCGCGGGGGCAACATGTGCGGCGGTTGCGTGAAGACGGAGTACCCGGTTCGGGTAAGCGGGTGGCTCGCCTCTTCGTGGCCGGGCCCCGCTGGGTCGCGGAGAAAGGAGGGCGATTGCGCGTGTGCTTCCCTACTCCCGGTTGTTCTTACTCTGTTGAATGCTCCAGAACCATCGCGAAGCTTTCTGCTATTCCGACTGGGATAAACATGAGCGTGGCTCGGCCTCCGCTATTCCTTAATCTTCTCCGGGTATCTGTAGTCAATTCTTACATAGGCGAGGCTGGGAGTCAAAAAGGAAGAAGCAGAGTAAAGCCGCCTTTCCCAGCTAGCTCTGCTCCTTAGAAGTTCTTAACATAGGAAATCTGATCCCCTGGGTAAGAACCGTTGGGGAATGGAAGTAACAGCGTAAATGCCATTCTGAATCAGCCTGCTGGCTCATCTAGTCCAGCTTTGTGCTTATGCAGTGGCCAACCAGCTGCCCACGGAAAACTCGCAAGCAAGACAAGAGTGCAACAGCACCTTGTCGTGTTCCCCAGTAACTGATGTACATAGAAATAACATCTGTGATACTTGAGGTAGCATCTAACTGTCAGAACTAGTAGCCATTGATGAGAAGAATTAACCCTACTTAACTGGAGTAGTGAATTACAACATGTTGAATGGCAGCTGTAACACCTATTTCCTGTCTATGGGGCACAGGTACTTAATTCCTAGGCATTTCTTGCGGAAGGTTTATTTATAGGCCTTTCCTTTTCAGTAGGTGGAATAGTTATGGTGGTACTTTGATATCAAAGGAACTTGATGTGGGCTTGGAAGTTTCCTCTTTCTAAAAATAGTGATGTTAGTTAGCAACATCTTGGATACAATGCTGGGTGCAGCAGTTTTTGTGTTTGTTGTATTTTTAACTGCACAATAATGTTATCTGGCAAGATTATAGAAGTGTAAATTATGGCTGCTGCTTAAGCAACTACATGGGAAGTACACATACAGTATATGAGATTTATTATTAAAAGGGCTTGAATGGTGTTTCTATATCTAAAACTAAAAGTACATGTACTCAGGACACACTGAATCTTATTTCAAATTATTTAAAATATTGGTGGAAAAAAATCTAGAAAATACTTATTGCTAAACACAGTAAATGCCTAGGGCTAGAGCTTGCAGGTGATAAACCAATGGCAGGTTTTAATATTTAAGGACACAATCCTGTGTTATGCTTAGACAGAAAAAGCCATATAGTTCAAAGCATGGCTGTGGCATGCTGGGAGTTCTGATTTTTTTCTCTTGCATTGGATTGCACCCTGTATGTATCAGCTCAGTTTTTGCAGTATTAGCCCCACCGGCCCAGTGGGGGGGGGGGCACGCAGGAGAGAAACTGCTGAGACAGTAGCTTGCTTAAGCCCACTCAGTATTCATGAAATCTGAACTAGAGAGATTCAGCGCATGCTCATAACAATTTTTGTATCACTTTAGGGCCAAACTAGATGTTACATAGCAGTTCCATGATAGAAATCTTCCATGTGTATGTCCTTCTTAAAGTGCAGTTTGGGGCCATTTAGAAACATAGAAACAGAGCGAGTTAGAAGGGGTCTCCTGGGCCATCTAGTCTGATCCCCAGCTCCAGCCAGCTCCGCTCACGACATGCCCACCATGTGCATGTCCAGCCTGTCCTTGAACACCCGCACCGATGGGGCCTCAACGACCTCTCGTGGAAGCCCATTCCACACCCTCGGGGTCCTGACTGTCAGGAAGTGCTTCCTGGCATCTAAATGGAACCTTGGTTCTCTGAGCTTTGCTCCATTGGAGTGTGTCCTGCCTTCCTCTGCAGGGGAGAACAGGTCTCTACCCATCCCTCCATGTGAATAAAGACATTTGCATGGCTTTATTCCTGTTACAGCTCTAGACCCTCCTGTTTCCAAAGCTGCAATTAGCTGTAGAGAGGGAAACTTACAGCACAAAATGTGTGCCATTAAATTCCATGACTGACAGAAGCTGGCAGAAGAATTTATACAGGGCAGGTATAGGTAACCTTATCGTCCCCAAGAGCTGCAAATGGTGGTGGCATGGGAGCACACACACAGATGCATAGCATTCCCTCTTGCCCTCCTTAAAACAGCCTTTCTTTCCCACACTGTTTCCAGGTACAGTTCAGAATTCCATTTATGACCTATTCAGTGCTACATAGCTTGGGACCAGTCTAATTGAAAGCTGTTCTCCAGCATGAGCCTCCCTAGTTTTTAAGATCCTCAGGAGACTCTGTCATGTCATCACTGGAGGCACATTTGGTGGAAACACATAAGAGGGCCTTTGCAGTGGCCGCTCCTAAGCTCTGGAACTTCTTACCAAAGAAGGTCAGGCTAGCTCCATCCCTGATGACTTTCTGCAGGCCTCTAAGCTGACATAGCAGTTTGCTGAAACAGGTTTTAACTGGTGGGTGCTTTTTATTTTATTTTATTTAGTATTTTAGCTAATTTGTACATATGTTTTTGATTGTAATAATTGCATTTTATGTCATTTTATTAACTGTCTTGAGCACCATTTGTGGTAGAAAGGTAAGTTATACATTTAATAAATGAAGCCCTTTACAGCTGAAGGTTGTATATGTAACAGCTTTCAAAGGCTTCCCCAGCTGGAATAGATTCTCCTCCACCCTAACAGGGAGAGGTTGTGCTGCTTCTGATGCACCAAATAATGGTTTGACATTTTGGGAGGGACATATTTTATATAGAGGGGATGGTGCATCTTTTACCCCTTTGAACAGGCAAGGGGCAGCTGTCCAGATGAGATATCAGAGAATCAGTGTGGCACCAAAAGGTTAGATTCCAATCCAAATCACCCCTATGCCTGAGAAGATGACAAAAGAGAAATTATATTGTGTGGGATTCTTATGGCACATATAACATGTAGTTTGACTATTAAATGAAGCCATGTTATAAAGAATGTACTGTTGCATCACAAGCTTTTTCCTTTTCTGACTGTTTTAGGGTAACACCTGCTTGGAGAATGGGTCATACTTGATGAACTATGTAGGTTGCAATCAATGCAAAAAGAGGGATTTTGTGATGATAACAAACAGAGCAACAGAAGAAGATGATGGAGAGGAAATAATCACTTATGATCGTAAGGAATCTAAACTCTCTTACTGTTAGTGAGGACATCTTCAAAGTTTTGGAGTCTTATTTCAGAATTCTTTGTGGAATATGGATGAAAATGAAATAAGTCTAGAGATGCTTTCATTGTTGGGTGACTTTAAAAAGTACATTTTAACACTTTAAAAATAGATGGTAATGACTCACTGTCACAGGTTACTTACACAGTACCTTTCAGGATACTGGATTGTATCCAATGATATCTATTCAGCAGAACAGGCATCAGTGGTGGAATGGATTCCCTCTTCTCCTGCATTCCTCTACCCATACCCCAAATCTCTTTTGGAGGGTTGGGCTGTCCTTAGCAAGAGATGGGGTCGGGGGAACACCGTGAGGAGGAAAGGAAAGGAAAGGGAAAGCTTGCTGCATGGGCAGAAGCATGCTCATGTGAAATAGGATATAGTCCACAGGTGATGAAAATACCAATTCTCTCTTGTAAGTGTAACTCCATATCTAGATCTTCTGGTAATTGTGGTCACTTGTAGGCAGACATTCTGTGCTCCTTTCCTTTTTGTTTCTCTTCAGGCTGCTGGTCCAGTCCTTATTCATTTCCTGTAGCATCCAATAATAGTTCCTGTCCTCATTGTTCTCATCTCTGTTGAGATGCTTTAGAAGATTGCATGTGATAAAATCCAGTGAAATTGCTTAGAATTGTAATGCATACTACTGCCATCTTTTGGGACAATTGCAGTGAAAAAATAGAGTAGTTGTTCTCTTGGATGAACAGGTGAGTGTCACTAGGGAAAAAATGGCCTTTTAAAGTTAAGTATTATACAGAGTATTCCAGCCTTAGATGTAAAAAGGTGAAGCCCTAGTTTTCTTAATAAACTCTGCATAAAATTGTGTTGACAGCAGTGAAAGTTTGCAATGCAGTTACCTGAGAATAAATGCCAGTGAATATAGTGGGACTTATTGGTGAGCAAACATGCATAGGATTTTTGGTTAATTGCCTAATTTCTCAAAACCTAAATCAAATAGCCATGTATTTAGCATAGGAATGAGCATGTAATAGTCAACTGTAACAGGCTTAAATACATTGTACGTAAGTCAATGTCTACTGTTTTCTGAGCATTCACGATTTTTATTTGGTACAAGCTGAATTATCTGATAAACTTGTCTGTCAACATGCTAATAGATCATTCCATATAGTACTCTGTGTTTGGGAGGTTGACGGTGTATTCTTTCAGCCTTATCAAAGAAAGTAAATGGATACCGGATCTGTCAAAAGTGTCTGTTTCTGTTCATCTTCTTAGGTTTCTTTCCCAAAGGGGTTAAGTGAGTATCTCTTCTAATGCAAGGACCCAAATTTTCTTTTTCCATATGATAAGAGAAAGTGTATTTGCTGGTTTCTAGTTAGTAGCTATGACTAAGTTGCTATCCAGAAAATGTTTACAAGTAGAAGCACATTATGACTTATTCATGAGTTGTGTCCTGTTGTGTAACCTCACTGGTGGCCTGATCTCCAAACCTTTGCCTAAGTATGTCACCACATATGCAGCTAGGTGCTCCTGGGGCCTCCATTCTTCTAGCAACTGGGATTCACATAGCTCTGCTTTTCTGGGTAACATACCATCTTTACCTCTCACTCTGCATGAGTTGGCTTCATGGGAGAGGCCTTAGAAAATATCACAGCTCATTTTCTGAGCTCATAGTGCAATTCAGGTTTTTCTTCCATACCATTTTCGATCCCTTTGTCTTACCAATAACCATGCAGCCGGTATGTTTTCATAGTAAATCCCTTGCTCCAGATGGTGGTACTGGTAGACTACCACTCTGCACCATGGCCTTTGTGCTGTGAAGTTCCACAGGGCCCCATTTTATCCAGGATATCTGAGGGAATGCATTTCCATATGTCCCGGCCTGATAATTGAGGACTTCAGTTGTTGGTCTTCAAATTCCTCCCCCCAATGAAATAAAGGGGGAAGTGGTGAGGAGAAGGGGCTTTTCTGTAATAGCATTGCATCTGTGGAACACCCTTTGTATTGAGACCCACCAGGCACCTTCCCTTTTTACATTTAGATGTCAATGGAAAACATTCTTCCGTAATTATTTTGGTGAGAAAGTAGAGTTGGTTTTGTTAATAATGGTTATTTTATAGGTTTTATAGATGCTACTGCCATGTTAAAAGAATTTTCATTGCCAGACACTTTTACTCATAGGATTGTTTTTAAATTGATAATTTCAATTACTATTATGTAAATGCTGATTTTTATCATGCTTACTGTTTAATTTTATTAGTTTGTTATTCACTGTTTGACCAATAACAATAAACAAATGGAATGGAATGTAAGCTGCCCAGAGAGCCTCACGGCTATGTGGTGTGGCCTACAAGTGCAGCAAATAAATAAATAGGCTAGGACTGATGTGAATTGTAGACCAAGAACATATGCAGGGCCCTGAGTTGCTTACTCCTAATGTAGCAACTGTGATCGGGCAATAAGAGCAGGTACAACCTACCTATGTCTTAAGATAGTTTGCTGAGTTCCTGCTCCAAGTGCCTCCCTTTTCACAGGGGTGGAGAACTTGTGGCTTTCCAGATTATGTTGAACCCCAACTCCCATCTACCCCAGCTAGCATGGCCAGAGGTTCTGGGAGTTGCAGTACAACAACATCTGGAAGAATACCAGTTTCCCATCCCTGCCCGATTGGGAATATGCTAAGTAACTGTAAAGGAGATGTTTTTCAGTGGTGGCATCCCAGTGTTGAAAGTTGGCAGCTGGTGCCTAGTTTACAAGCCTTAAATACCAGGTTAATACCTTATAATTTACTTTTAAATGACTATAATCTTTCTATATTGTTCCTCAAGTCTGCGTTACCATGTCTATCAAATCTCTTGTTCCCATTTTCTTTCCTCCGTTGCTGCTTCAGCTGTCACAGGGTCTTGTTTCTCATGGGAGGAACAGAATGCAGTGCTATGGCAGCACCATACACATAGCTTATCTCCTCCTTTCCTTTCACACAAGATACTAGCAGTGATAGTAAAAGGGGAGTAAGTGTAGTAGCAAAAAGGATTAATGGGGAAGGGAAATGGAAGTTGTGAGCACCCAGTGAGGAGTATGACTAAGTACTCCAAATAAGTTTTTGCATAGTTCATCTAAAATTTGTAGTTAGACTCCTGCCTATCTTTTTAAACAGGGGCTTTGCTTTCCGCAAGTCTGTTTCAGGGCATGAAGATGACTGGACTAATACTAGAATGACTGACTTGAAATGGTGTTGCCTCGCAGGCTGATGTTCTTTTACGTCTCTTGGTTTCCTTTACAGATGTATGTAAGGACTGTCACCACGTGATAGCCAAGCATGAGTATACTTTCAGTGTAGTGGACGATTACCAGGTAAAGCTCTTATAACCTTTACTGGTGCTCTTTAACTGGTTTGCTTCTTTTTTGTTTTGTTTTTGTTTTTAACTTTGAAGCTTCTGCGCCACTAAGGTTCAAGAAATTTTTGTAGACCTAGGCTGGAATCCTTTGCATACTTACCTGGGACTGAACAAAGTGGAACTATGCATAGAATTGTGAAGCATCTCATTGTAAAACAAAAGATCCCATCTCTTTGGGAGAAAAGAATCTAAAGGACGCATGTATGTTTCTAGCATGTTTGTGGATTGAAGTCTCTGAAGAACATGCTCCAGAGGTTGCATTGCTATTACTTATAGTTTGTTCTTCAGAAATTGGAGGGTCTGACTGTGTATATATTATCTATACTGAATGGAAAAGAAAAGCTTTAGGTTATTTGAAGGTATGGACTGTGCTTATATTTGCACTGAAGTTATTAATAAATTATTCCAGAAGTTGAAGATGTGGATTCTTATCTCCTGATCATGAATCTATTTATTTGGAACTAAGGCTCATTGATTTTCATATTACCTACTGCAGAGTACATGTGTTTTTAGTAGATCGCAGTTCTGGTATCCAAATTCTGATCTTCTGTTAGAACCTGATAGGCTGGGGAAGGCTGGTTAAGAATAGTGCACATTTCTTTCTGCCTTTAAACTGTGAAGGATGATGTTTGCTGAAACAACTCTGTGGACCTGAGAGTTAAGCAAGCCTAAACACACATCTTGGTGGAAGCTTGTTTTAAATGGTGGTGATAGATTGTAAGGGGTTGTCCTTCTTTCATGAACTATCCAGTCTTATTTTTCTGTTGGCTTTCTCTTTGCCAGTATGCCTATTGTGCGATGCTGTGCATTTTCACAAGAAGGCAAGCATATTGGATTGTCTTCTGCAGAATACAGGAAAGTAGTGTGAACTCAGATCTGGTTCTAAAAACTTCATGGGCAGAGGCACATGGAACTTTTATTCTAAATGTACAAAAGTATCCCTTCCCTTTAGCCACCTTTCCACATTTGGTTGTGGTTGATAGACCTTGAGGTTCTAGTTAAAAAACAAAAGCAAAAGAGTAAACCCTTCATAATGTAGTCTGCCCAGCCCTGGCATAGAGGATTGAGGGTATTATCCTGCAATTTTACAAACCGAGTAAAGGGGCAAGCATGCAATTAACCACTTTGTACCAGTTGAGAAAGAGCAGAGCAGACTGGGTTCTTGGCTGTTCCACACATGTCCTTCATTGGCTGAGAGGGTGTTCAGTTTCTTCTTCCATCCTTGGGAGAGTAAGCCGGGCTGTAACGATGCTATCACACCCTGAAACACTCCAGATGTGTTGGGGTGCAACTCCCTTAATTCCCCAGACAGCACCCTGGTAGCTGGGGATGATAGGAGTTGTTGTCCTGCCTCATTTGGAAAGTGCCACATTGAGGACGTTTCCTCTAATGAGTTAGTCAGATTTGGAGTTGCAGCCTCCCTAATGTAAAACTGTGTCATCTCCTGCTGTGTAGCTACTGGCCCTTTGAGACTATTCCTGCTCTTAGAGTTCACTAGCTGGTGTGACTCATCCACCGCTACTCCTTGGGCAGTTACCTGCCCTCATGAGCCTGCTGCTCCTGACAATGGCCAGCAACAGTTGCTATGGTTTCCTTTACGATAAAGTCCTTGTAAAGTAGACACAATGCTTTAAGCAATGACAGCAAAATCACCATTTAAAGCGTATGTTGCATTACTAGCAGGCACTAAAAGTAAATGATAAGAAGATGCATTTGGGGATGGGATGGGATGGGGGTGTACAGAAGCTAATGGGGTTGACTTCAGAGTCTGGGCAGGTCTGACATGGCTCATCGACTTTCTGTTGAATGAGGATGTGAATGACTTCTTGTTGCGCATGAAAAGTCTTGCAGTATATCCTACAGTAGCCTGAGTGAAGCAGTGCACTGCCAAGACAGCATTCTCTGTAGCTGGGGGGCGGCGGGGGGGGGGGATGAATCACAACTCTGTGTCAGGAAACACCGAGTTCTGTACTGTGGATTTATTATTCAGGAAGGAGATATGCTTAAACCTACTCACTCCCCACAAATAAATACATTTTGTTTCTTGTTCCAGGAATATACCATGCTGTGCATGCTCTGTGGCAGGGCAGAGGATTCCATCAGTATTTTGCCTGACGACCCTCATCTGATGACTCCATTGTTTTGAAGCTTGTTGTTTTCAGTCAGTTGTTTCACATTGATTTGTATGCCATGATTGGCAGCAAGTACAAAATAGGACTTTAAAACCTCCGACTCAATACATTTAGAAAGTCAGGTGATTAGAGTTAAATGAATGTCAGCTTGGCTGATATTCTGTCTCATCTTACAATTTTATCTGCATCATGAAAGAAAAATCCTCAACTTTAAAAAAAGACTTCTTTATTGCTAGAGGACATGCAGAAAAGTAAATAACTTTTCTGACTTGCAAGAAAGCTTTGCAGGAACTTTGCAAAAAACAGTAGAAATGCCTGCAATTCCTCTCCTCTTTCAGAACTTCCTGCATGGCAGAACAATGTTGTTCTTCCTCCAGACCTCTAACCAATACAGTGGACTATAAGATGATGCAGGGTCTTAAGAAGAGCTTTGGAGAAGGACAGAAACAGCAGACATTTCCCCCATTTTTGCTGTTCCTCTGCAAATCAGAAAAATTGCTACTCCCTTCATAGATCTAGCAAAATCTTACAGAATAAGGTTAGAAATAGCAGGAAGCATTTCTCCGCTGTTTTCTTCCTAGTCCAAAACTCCCTGCAAGTGAGAGAAGGCACTGCTCCTTTAAGAGCAGACAGAAGAGACAGGATCATATGTCACCTCCTTATATGCTTGGATCAAGACAGAAACTGGGAGAAATCACCTTTTCTGATCTAAATGGCTGGTGAATGCCATTGTGGACAGCTATAACTGATTTGATGCACCTCTACAACTTTAAAGTTAAATGTTGCTTACCTGTCCACAGTAGCCAAATCTAGGCTTTTAGGTGGCATAGAGGCCCCTGGTAAGAGCAAATTACTGCTGGTAACTGTAGCACCTAATCATTAGGTCATGTTTTGGACATACATATGGTGGGCATGTCGTGAGCAGAGCCGGGGGTCAGGCTAGATGGCCCGGGAGGACCCTTCTGACTTGCTCTGTTTCTGTGTTTCTATTAGGACATGTTTATTGAGAGTGAGAGTGATTGCCCAAGGCTGCCATCCTTCTCTCAAAAATATTGTTGGGCTCCTTTGTTGTGGTGTGGGTTGTAGTTGGCTCATGCACAAACAGTGGAAGCACCTGAGCAGTAATGACATGAATCCTCAGCAAGAAAGAAAATAGGTGAACAGGAACTGCCCAGTTTGTTTCTTCTTCAGCCTCAGACAAGGTCCTGATTGATAACTTTCTGTAATAAAACAGAGCAATTACAATGATGCTTTGATTTCTTTTAAACATCAAAAAATTTTCAGCAGCATGCTTTGGTTCATGTGTAGTACCTGCCAGTTCTTTTGGCTATATAGTTAGGATATCACTAACAGGTGGATGAAATGAGGCAGGGAGAATGATGTAAGACCCAGGAAAACTGTGAAAATGCACCTTTCAGAACTTAAGTGGTGTTGTAACTCTTCCACCATTTCCCCTTTGAATAGATACCCTTATATAGTATAAACTCCAGTTCTGGGCTCTAGAAGCATCACTTTCTATGAAATTGCTGCATTTCCATCCTTTCAGAGGGACTGCAGGGTTAATGATTCCATACTAGGTTCTGCTGTTGCTGTGAGCAGCACTTCAAAGGCTAGTTTTCACAACCAAGCTACTGTGAAGAAATGTAGATCAAGTTGGTTGTTTCGCGCTCTGGAGTCATGGCCAGATCCATATTGTGTCATCAAGCCACTGTTGGAACCACCTCCATTTTCTATGAGAATGGTAACCTTTTGGTACATGATTAAGTAGTTACACATGGAAACATAGGAGCAAATTGTTCCTCATGTTACCAAGCTAATTGAGCATAAAAAGAAGGATAGTCACAATAAGGTACTCGAAGTAGCATGCCTCGGCTTAGCAAATCCTGGGGGCCAAACTCCAGGAGTCCTTATTTCTTGTTTGAAAGTGGATTCCTGAATAAGATGGACCTTTAATGTGGTTTCCTAAGGCCATTCTAGTTACATTCTGAATTAAAATATCCAGACCAGTGGTGTTGAACTATTTGTTACCTATGTGACAACCAAAACCTGTTTGAAAATTCGAACTGTGTCCTGCCAGTTAAAGTGTAGTAAGGCATGCATTAGCCATCTTGTTGGATGGGATGATGATTGTAATACAGTTACAATTCAACAAATCTAAGTTGCATTTTATTTCATTGAAAAAAGAGGGCATCTGCTTCTAATCCATTGAATTCAATGGAACTTAAATGAACTGGTGCTACATCCGTTGTTTTCAGGGGCTTACATAGCCAGCAACTCCCAACGTATCACTTTCCTTTTTTCAGAGGAAGCCATTTCTCTTCTTTGTTTAGCATTAATTACTTGGGCTTGATATCTTAAAAGATGCATGTTGATTTTAATTCCTGGAAGGTCTGACAAAATGGAGTCACTGATGAGATTCATAGATTTATTTATTTTTCAAGCTGAAAGGGGCCCCACTAGGACCAGACCCCCTGCCTCGGCCTATTAGATCCACTTAGTCGCGTTTTGCTTTTTTGCTTTTATTTTCCCTTTGCAACTTTAGCACTTCAGGGAAATAGTTCTGCCTGGCAGCAAGTGAAAAATTAGGGAGGAGAGCCTCAGTCTGCCTTTTCATGCTTATCCCTGCTGAAGGACTTGGCACTAAATATGATAAGGTAATTACTATAAGCAGACCTTGGTCCTCTGGAGTGCACAGAAGTAGCTTCATTCAACTATGTCAGGGATACATTGAAAGTAATGGGCATCTTCCGTTCTATATAATGTTTCTCTATTTTGTTTCTGGCTTACAACATGCCTTCTGTCCTTGTTCTACAGCTTCCAGATATGCAGTGACTCTCCCAAGGTCATACAGTTAGACAGTGGCAGGACCAGGAGAGAGGCAAATCTCCCTTTTCATCTGTCTAGCAATGTGACTCCTGTTAAGAATGGGCCATGCTTTTAATGGGAGTCACGTTGCATCGAACAGCTGACCCAGTTTGCAAAAGCTAGCTTTGCTCTCCCCAGCATACTAATACAGATACCCACCTGCAGGAAGAAAAATGGATATAGAAAAAGGAGTATCCAGTTTACAAGTGTCTAGTCTTGGTATGGTTGTTCCTTCTGCTGTTTGCTGTCAAAACTAAAATTCTGGAAAGTGATGAGGATGAAAGCCACTACTAGGTCTGCAACAAAGTTACTGGCTTTTGGTCAGTTAGGCTGAGTGTGCGCATAGAGGACAGGAGAGCTTTAGAGCAGCAAGTGCAGAACAGCTGCAGTGAAGCAGGAAGTCTGTAAAATGATCATAAGCCACAGCAGCTGAGTCTCCTGCATAGGTCCCATTGATGTTGGCCTACTGGATCCTGAAGGAAAAGACACTTCTATACGTGCTCATTGCTTCTTTTTGATCCTTATGCATGCAGTGTCTTCTTTATTAAGGCAGTGTGGTGGGGGAGGGGGTGATTCATCACTGATCAAACATTTTACCTGTGTAGCCAACGCTCACTTTCTGGTTGGACAGAAGTACTGGCAACAGGGAATGCTGCAGTCTGCCACTGTCAGATGGAGAGGGGATGATAAACAGAACTGCAGGCACTTCATCTGCCTGCAGAATTCACGAAACCAGCTTGGTGTTCTGCAGTGGATGCCAGATGCTTGCTCCTCAAATCCAGATCTCTGGGAAAAGTTACTTTCTTTGTCCTTACCCTAGATTCTGTAATACCATGCTGTAAGGAACAGGCAACGGGTTTTGAGCATTTATAGGAATATGTATAGAGAACAGAACAGAGCAGTTTCACAGAGTTTGTGATGCAAACAAAGAATAGAAAGAAAAAGAGGAACATAAAAAGCATGGGCTCCCTGAGCTGAACCAACAGAGCAAAAGCAGGACCAGAAAGTTTGGGGTTATTGTGACTTTGTATCCTTTTAGCATGTACAGAACCCATGTGATCAAAAGTTAGGAAAATAGATCTCTCCTGGATCCTAGACTCTCAGTTGCCTGCATTATTCTTTAAATCAGGAAGTCTCTGCTAACTTGAATCAAATGACAATAGTTTACTTGGGCAAGTCTCTTAATATGTACACTAGCATTAATATTAGACATGTTCTAATCCTTCCTCACTGGAGTTAGGCAGTACCATTATTGAACCATATATAGTCCCAGCCATTTAAGCAGACAAAAAGATCTGTCTGGTTGGGTACTGTAGCTTCTTTTCATTCCAGACTGGCATTGGAAAGAAATCTTAGCCTCCATCATACAAAAACAAAGCTGGTGGGAGAGGCAGGCTAATTGTTTTAATCATAATCGGTTTTATTCTTTTGCAGATATGTAACATATCTATGTGCTAAAATCTCAGTAATCAAACAGTATGATGCATATTCCAGACATGTTTCTCACCTCTAAAATGCTAATTTCTGTCCTATCTCAAAAGACAACTTAGATACTTTTGGGTGACTTCAAACATGATATGGACTGTTTTAAAGAAGTAGGACTTGGGTTTAGAACTTTGGCTACAACCTTACTTTATATTAGAGGATTTATTTTCAATTATTAACCTTATCTGACGGTCCTGATCTTAGGGTTGTTCAACAAAAAGTGAAGTAAATAACTTTGGGTCTTCCCAAACCATTGCAGAATATAGGCATTTTGAAAATGAAATGCTTGTTTTCAAATAATTCCGAGATGTAGATATGGAAATGCTCTGTTAATTGAATCTTTTTGGGAAGGGGACCTTGATAAGACGAAAGCAAGACTCTCTCCCCTTTCCTTTAAGTGCTATTTACACATTCTTTTCAAACATGATTATATTTCCCTGGGGAATGTTGATTAGGTGGGGGAATCAGCAAGAGAGTGAAGACTTTTGTAAAACATTCTGATAAATTCATGTAGAATAATAAGTCTGGTATCCTACTGCAGTCCTGTGCTTGATATGCTGGAACTGAGTTCAGGGCTGCTGGTTCATTGCAGCAGTTAAGTGGATGCTGCTACTTGAGACACAAATCTAGAAATGTGAGCTTTCAGTAGCAAACGAGAGATTTTTGATGCAACCCTACACTTACCTGGGACTAATTCCTGTTGAACTCAATGGGGATGTTGAACAGATATGTATAAATTGCACTGATGTTGCTGAGATTCTGTGTATGTGAGGTTTGGGTACCACTTTCTCTGAGATAGATTATAAAGGCAAAGAGCTATTGGCTATAGAACTCCATGCCACACGAAGACTGCAATTTTTGTATGTTTCCATGAGAGTGAGTCCTATTGAATTTTAATTCAATTAGACATGCAGACAATTGTGCCATGTTAGCCCTTTGGATACTGTGGGTCTTCATTCCTTTTTTGGTAATCAGCTGATATAGTCATTCTGGACTTTCCTTTTAAAAACAAGAAAAGCAAAAGAGGGTGGCCAGTGGGGTGAGGTCATTGGACCAACATCTGAGGTAGAAGGAAATCTGGGATGCATACTCAAATTCCAGAAAAGCTGTTCTGGTAGGAGACTGCCTTGCCTAGAGAAGGACAGAAGAAAATTGGGAAGAAAGTGTTTTTTTTTCCCTCCAGGAAAAACTGCTCCTTTTTAGAAACATTCAAGACAAAGTCCCCCTGCTTTGTCCATTCCACCCCCCCCCCCCACCCCCCCCCTCAGCCTTCACATCATTGGTCTTATACATCTCTTTTGATCCAATAAAATGGAGGTGCTCTGTGTTTCATTTTGAATGATTCCTTATGAAAAGTAGTGGTGCTCCTGGGGGGCTGTGGAACTATATTAGAACATTTTTTCCCTCATTGGGCACGTGGGTAAAAGGTAATGATAGTTACATCTGTTATTTTTTCTCCATTTTTCTTATTTGCACTCATACATTTGGAACACTGAATATTTTTCCAAATCTAAATTCATTTTGGACTGAAACTTGGTCATTTTAAAAGTTTTCATGAAAATTCATATGCATTGTTGTGTATATTTTTCCCAGTGTGTGCATCTTTATATGTAATTTTGCCTAATGGGCTCATTTTGAAAACGTTTTTTCTAATATAATGCATGTTTTATGCTTCCACTAATACATATGTTTTTGTGTACTTTCCTCTAATAGACATGCTTTTGTTCACATTTTTGACTGCAGAATTTCAGTGCAAAATTTGGAGAAGTGTGGGTAACAATTTTGCTTTGCATATTTATTTGAAAGTATGAAATTAAGTACATTTGAATTAAAATGCAAATTGAATTAATTTCTTCCCCAACCCTATTCATAGTACTGGCTAGATGGGAACAGAA